ACCAATGAATTTTCTAATTCACCAACTGGTCCAATCCCATCCATATTTATTTGACCAATGAACTTTCTAATTTACCAACTGGTCCAATTGCAACCAAATTTACTTGACTAGTGAACTTTCTAATTTACCAACTGGGCCAATCCTATCCATATTTAGTTGACCAATGAACCTTCTAATTTACCAACTGGTCCAATCCTATCCATATTTATATGACCAATGAACTTTCTAATTTACCAACTGGTCCAATCGCACCCAAATTTAGTTGACCAGTGAACTTTCTAATTTACCAACTCGTCTAATCCCATCCATATTTAGATGACCAATGAACTTTCTAATTTACCAACTGGTCCAATCCCATCCATATTTATTTGACCAATGAAATTTCTAATTTACAAACTGGTCCAATCGCATTCAAATTTATTTGACCGATAAACATTCTACTTTACCAACTGGTTCAATCGCACCCAAATTCAGTTGACCAGTGAACTTTGTAATTTACCAACTGGTCCAATTCCATCCACATTCAGTTGACCAGTGAACTTTCTAATTTACCAATGCAACTGGGGTAATTCCATCCAAATTTTATTTGACTAATGAACTTTCTAATTTACCAACTCGTCCAATCCCATCCATATTTATTTGACCAATTAACTTTTTAATTTACCAACTGGTCCAATCCAATCCCTATTTAGATGACCAATGAACTTTCTAATTTATTTGACCAATGAATTTTGTAATTTACCACCTGGTCCAATCCAATCCCTATTTAGATGACCAATGAACTTTCTAATTTACCAACTGGTCCAATCGCACCCACATTTAGTTCACCAGTGAACTTTCTAATTTACCAACTCGTCCAGTCACATCCATATTTATTTGACCAATGAACTTTCTAATTTACCAACCGGTCCAATAACAGCCAAATTTAGTTGACCAGTGAACTTTCTAATTTACCAACAGAGCCAATCCTATCCATATTTATTTGACCAATGAACTTTCTAATTTACCAACTGGTCCAATTCCATCCATATTT